AATTCCCTACTTTTTGTCAAAAAAAAAGAAACTAATTTAAAAAAAAAAAAAAAAAACATAATCTAAAAATAAAAAAAAACTAAAAAAAATTAAATTTTTTTTTTTTCAGATTCAAATTCCACCACGTGTCTTTCGAGCTGGAGGACCTGCTTTTCAAGTTATTGAACTTGTTCTTCTACTGAATACTATTATTAATAATATACATTAACGATATTATTTAAAAATAACATATAGGTAATATCCAGAAAAAAAATCAAACTTCAGGTCTTTGTAGGGTCTACTTTGCATTGAAAAAAAAAACATACTCATGTCTTCACGAGTGTCAAAATGAATATTTTTTTTTTTTTTTATTATCTCTTGTTGCTTAAGCAACTAGAGGCACAGGTGGCGCTCTTTTATTAAGGAACTATAAATAAACTATATACATTTTAAATATTTACAAAGTAATTTCGTAGTTTTAGATTTGTTATAAGATAAATTAGACTTTAAAGATCATATTTCTTTAGAGATATGATTTTTGATTAAGAGGCTATAGAATTAAGTACAGTATCAGAGTCTCTCTATTTTAATAAGGTATAATAATATCAGATTTTATAAATTGTATTGATATGTAGCCAGGATATAGCTATTAAAGTTTGAGGATGATTAGAGCTAGATGGTTCGAAGATTTCTTTCATTGTAGTAGATGGAATTTTTCTCTTGTTAATATTCAGGAATTTATAAGCTTCTTTCTAAATAATTTTACTTCTAAGGCATTCAATAGCAAAATGTTCGATAGTTTGTAGTTCGTCAGAACACCAAAGGCAATTTCCTGTTTCTGTTGGTCCTATATATTTGAGTCAATAGCCTAATAGGAGTGCTCTGTGAAAGAGGCGCCAGAAGATATCTTTTTTCTTATTGCATACTAATTTTAGAGTAAGCCAGGCAGCTTGCGTAGTTTGAAAAGAAGCTTGAGATGAGATAGATAAAGAAGTTGAATTTTTAAAGAGCTCTAATAATTTTTTAACAGAGAGCTCATCTCCTTTAAAATCTCTAGCAGAGATTTCTTCTTTATTCCAAGGCCAGTTAGAGGTAAAAGAAATTCTTCCTTTTATTCTTATCTAGGTAGTTAAATAGGGTTTCCATTCTGTGGGCCAGGCTTTGGTACGTATATTATTAGTATTTAGAGCTTGTAGTGGAGAGATGCTTCTTTTAGCTCTGAGAGTTGAGCTAACTTTGTTTCTTTCATAACTTATCCACATAGAATCTGAAGTGAGAAGCTTAATCCAAACAGAGATTAGATGAGCATCTAACATATCCTTGATAACTAGAGCTTGAAGTCCTGCAAGTTCTATAGAATGTTAAAAGGTAAAGTATCTAGGAAGCATACGTGAAGTACCTTTAACCCATAGAGAAATAATTCTGTTGATATCAGCAACCTGTTTTCTATTAGGAGGTAGAAGATAAGCAGAGTACCAAATCTTAGATAGAATGAGTGATTTAGCTATTAGGATTTTTTCTTTAAAGGAGAGATTTCTATTTGTCAGTTTGTCGAGAGAATCTTTTAGCTTATTAAGTGTTGTAGACTATAAGTCTTTTTTTAGCTAGCCATTAGTGAGAATATTGTATCTCAGAATCGTAACAGAATCTTGTTTTCTAATTTAACAAATTGTTCTTCATTAGGGAGTTCTACTCTTTGAACCATAGGAGTGAGAGGAACTAGCTTAGTTTTTGTCTTGTTGATTTTAGCATTAGAGGCTGCTTCATAAAGGTTTAAAGAGGATTGAACCTTATTTCAATCTGTTAAAGAACTAATTCCTATAGTTAAGTCATCAGTATAGGCTGAAGATTTAAAAAGTTGGTTTCCTAGTTTGATGCCATGTAGACGATTTTCTAAAGTTCTTATGAGAGGCTCAAAGGCTAATATATATAATAATGGTGAAAGAGAATCTCTTTGTCTGATACCTCTCTCGACTCTAAAAGGTTTAGAGATGTCACCTGCTTCAATAATATAAGCTTCTTGATTAGAAAAAAGGTTTTAAACAAGATTAGTAAACTTAGTATTGAAATTCATGCTTCTTAAGGTGAGTTCTAGAAAGTTATAATTAACTTGATCAAAAGCTTTTTGTTGGTCAATAAAAAGCAATCAGTGTTGTTTAGAGAGATCTGCCTGATTTCTCATTGTTGTGATTATATCTAGAGTAGCATCTGTAATAGATCTATTCTTAATAAAACCTTGTTGGTAATATGGTACAAGTACCTCACAGATAGAGTTGAGGCGATTAGCAATAATTTTCATAAAAATTTTAGCATCACTATTAACTAGTGATATAGGTCTCTAATTGTTAATATCTTCTAAGTTTGAAGCTTTTTTCAGTATTAAAGTGATTAAACTTTTGCACTAAGAGAGTAGTATTACATCTGATGATAGAGTATGATTAAAGACTCTATAGAGAATTGGAGTTATGACTTCTTCTGTAAGTTTGTAGAACTCGTAAGTTAGACCATCAGTTCCAGGAGCTTTGTTGTTAGGAAGATTTCTAATAACATTGCTAATTTCATCTTGAAAAATTTTACGTATTAGCTCTTGATTATGTAGTGGAGAGACTTGAGGCAAATTTTCTGTAATTTCTTTTGCTGAGGACAGGCTGAAGTCTTCTTTTTTATAAATTTCAGCATATTTGTTTCTGATATAGTGAAGAGTATTCTCTTTAGTTTGTAAAGAGGCTTCAGAGTCCTTGATGTCTTTAAGAGCTGAGTGAGTTTTTCTTATTTTATATCTGGTGAAGAAGTATTTTGTAGATTTTTCGCCTTGTCAATCTAGCGAGCTTTGGAGCGAATTTGCTATTTTTTTGCAAGATTGGTAAGTTCTTCTTAAAGATCAAAACCTAGTTTGTCAGCTTGAGTATGTAAAAAGATATTTTCTGAATTATGAATAAGTCTTTTTCTAATTCGAGTAATCTCTTTGTTTAATTTTGTGATTTTGCTTTCTGCTGCTTTTGGTTTTTTGAAAGCTCTTATTATTGATTGTATATAGACTTTGCAGAAGTCCTAGTTCTCTAAGTCTTCTAGCTCAGTAATTTCATCAAATATCTCATTTCTAAGTTTTTCATTTTTGAAGTAGTCTTTATTGAATCTCCAAAGAGCTGATTCTTTTCTTTTGGTACTAAAGTTAAGTACACATTTTACTAAGAGATGATCTGAGTTATCAAATCTGGTATCGATTTGTGAAATTAAATTAGTATTGTTTTCGTCGATAAAGATATAGTCTAGGTAAGTAGCTATAGTACGATTTCCTTAGGTTTTCTGAAAAAAGGTATAGAAAGGCCTAGACTTTGCGAGAACTGTAGAGTCTAAAAAATGCTTTGTGAGGTCTTGTAGTTGTGCTCTTGTTGTATCTCGTTGTGGGGCTGCTTCACTAGTTCTATCTATTTCTGGATATAAGTTAGTGTTGAAGTCTCCTGCAATTATATTGATAGAGTTTTCTTTGAGTCGAGGTGTCCACTTCTCAAAGAAGAGCTTTCTGTCATTAAGATTTGGAGGAGCATAAATATTAGAGATTTGAAATGTAAATTCTTTGTATTCAAAGCTTGTCGAGATAACTCTATTATCTAAGTCTATTTCTGTATCTTTGAATGTAATATTTTTGTTGCCTGTGAGTATAGCTGTTTTGTTTGTCCAAATAGAGTCGAAAATCCATTAGTTTTTAAGAAAGTTTCGTGTATTTTGATCATTTAAGTTTGTTTCTTGTAGCATGATTATATCTAATTTATAAGATTTAAGAAGAGTTAGAGTGTTCCGTTGTTTTTGTTGATTATTTAACCCCTTGATATTTAGGGTTGCAACCTTAAATTTAAGTTGATCAGTCATATTAGAGGTTAGGTAATACAGAATTAAATCTGTGAATTTTGTACTCTATTACAGGTTTTTCTATAAGAAGCAACTCTAGTTAATTCCTCTTTTTGTTCTAAGATATCTTTTTTGTTTTTTCTTTTTCTTGAAGAGACTGTGATGAATCCTTCTTCAAGATTTTTAGGTTGCAGGTATGACTTATTATTGTTTGTAATAAGTACAATTGGAGTTTTTGGTGAGTTAAAGTCTTCAATTTCTATAGCAGTTTCTGCTTGTATACTCTCAGTTGCAATGTTCTCTTTGTTGCTATTATCAAGAGTTCTAACTGATGAGGCTTTTGTATTTTCTTTTTCTATAACAGGGTTTTCTGAATTCAGGTCCTCCATATTAGAAAAGCTATTTTCTGAGGTTACGTCTGTTTGGAAGGTCTCAGGTTCTGTGTCTTTAACAGAGGAGGTGGAGTCTTGTTAGTTCGTTTCTTCATCATCTAATTCAATATGAACAGTTTTACCCTTCTTTTTGCTAGCAAGAAATTCTTTATACTGCTGACGGAGCAGTAAGGCTTTTTTGAACTAGAGGCATTCTTTTTTAATATGCTCTTCTTTGTCACAGAAGTAACAGAGTTTAGGAGCAGAATACCATTCTGTAGTAACTTTATTATCGAAAATGACCTCGAAGCATAGAATTCTCTCTTCAAGATCTGAGTTATCAGTAGTCTCGAAGGTAACTATCCATTAGTCTGTCAAATAGGGAGTACCTTCAATTAAGAGAGATTTAATTGAAATGATATTACTTATATTATCAAAGACCTCTTTGATTTCATCAAAAATATCTTATTTGTTACCCAAAGGTATATTTCTGATTTTAACTGAGAGGAAGGACCTTCTCATATCAGTTGGAATATATCCATAATAAGTCTTATTGAATATTTCAATTCTTTTTGTAGTATAATACTTGAGTTTTTCCTCACTAGCAAATATTAGCTCGAGATAAGTACATATACCTCTACTAATATGTAGCTTAGCAGTGATAATATCATGTATTGCTGTTTTATAGAGAGAAATCATGATTTCGTTCAAAGAGCCATTGAGGTTTTGTATATCCAAAATAAGGGCATTGTCATTTTTTGATTTTATACTATTTCTTGGAGAGAAAGAGGTAAAAGTTAATTGACCTCTCTTGACTTTTGCAAATAAACTTGACTACAGTCTTTACAAAGTTTCGTTGTTGTTATTTGTTGAACTTTTTTTAGGTTCTGTTAGAGATGAGTCATGTAAATCTAGACATGTTGTTTTTGTTGTTGTTTGAGCCTCAGTATTTTGACTTTTATTACGTGCTTTAGAGCTAGATGTAACACTTATGTTGTTTTTGTTTTGTTGTTTTTTTTCTAAACTTTTAGTGCTATTTTCTTGAGCGACTTGTTCGTCCTAGCTAGAAGTATTAGCTACAGAGGTATTTTGTTGTACTGAGCTAGCTGATGTAGTTTGGTTGCTTGTTGCTTCCATAGTTTCTTTGTTAGGATATAAAACTACTTAATTTTCTAGAAGTTGTTCTTTCGATGAAAAACTTCTAGCGAGCTTAATTTTTTTATTTGTTGAAACTTCTGTGAAAGAAGTTTTGTGCTTGCTTGGAACTAGGGAAAGAGCCTCTGTTCTATTACTGTTTTTAGAGTTAGTGTTGTCTTGTGTATAGATTATTTTGTCGTCTCTAAAAAAACCCTTAATCCTAATTTTTGTGGTCAGAAGAGAGAGTGCATTGATCCTTTTAATTCCTCTCTTTAAATGTCTATTACTCTTGAGTTTTTTACTTAGCTCGCCCTAGCCTATTTTCATTCTTATAATAAAGTTATATTCTATTATTACTTGATTTTTAAATGTGTCTGGTCGTAAATTCGAAGTGAAACTTCATTGCTATACAAACAAAATTAAAAGTTATTATGATCTTTCAGTTTGAGGTCTGTGTAGTACATATCATCAATACTACATTACGGCTTATGCATAATTTATATGTATAATTTGTTTAAGACACGTATTGTACAACCTCTATAAGGTGCACATATAATTTGTTTATAAATTGATCATAAATATAACTGCCACATATTACAGGTTTGTATAATAAAAAATTTTTTAACCACATATATATTATTTTTTCTGTAATAATGAAAAATCCAAATAGCGATAACGCATTAACAAATAAAAAAAGACACAATTACATTGAAAAATGGCATATCTTTAGAGGCTGGAAGCACAGGTGTAAGCTTTGTGACAAATGCAATCACCATTTACACCTATATTGCAAAATATGCAAAAAAGTAGCGGATGGAATATATAAGTGATGTGAATGTGATAATTTTAATAAAAGAACCTCGAATAACTAAAGTAATAAAATTAATTAACATGTGACAGAATAAATTCTGCATACGTAATTCATCAAGTTCTTTATGCGTAAAAATCTGTTTAACAGAACTATTCAGTAATAATACCATTTTTGAGAAACGTTTAGATGAATCATTAGATTCAAAGCTTTACTCCTGATTTCAATTTCCCATTCTGTCTCATTTCATATAACCATGTGCATGTTTATACGTAATATTACAGCCACGTAGATATTGATGCACATCCATCGGTTAAGCATTGACCCAAGTCTGTCTGATGAAAGCGTGATTTTTTACTTGAGAGTTTTCATTATTTCATGTAGTGTATCCACTTCGTTTGTTCATTGTCGGTATAATAGGTCATGTTATCTGTCTGGAAAAATGGATCAGTTAATAAATTTGT